GCACCCTCCCATAGCCTCCCTCCCCCCACTAGAACCCTTACACTCTGATATCCCTGCTACTGTCTGCTGTGTTGTCAGCACCCCCAGCCATTCCCCACTACTTGCCCTTCTGGTGAATCTAGTCAGCCTATCTAGAGGTCTTTGTTTTAGGAGGGTCAGCTAGTTGCCTTCTTTTGATGCTCCGAGGGCAGATCTAAGTATGTGGTACATAGGCTACATCAAAAGAATGACAAGTAAACAAAGTATCAGGCTTAATTATGAGGGGAGGTTGTACACACACAGCAAATGTAATGAACCTTACATTATATAGTGTATCGCATGGTAAGTGCTGTGTAATAAGATAAAGGAGGGCCAGAGAAAGGGTGTTTGCCATTTAATAGAAAGTAGTCATCGAGAAGGTGCCCACTGGTTGAACACTTCAAAGAAGTTGAAATTTTTAACCGTGGCTAACTGGCGAAGAGCAAGTTGGGCAGAAGAGGCAACAACTACAAAGGTACTGAGACAGGGATATGCCTGGGGCTGTGGATGTGCAGCGTGCGGCAGAAGCAGATGAGCTGGACCAGGTGAGAAAGACAGGACATATCATGCAGTGTTTCAGGCTACTGGTGGGATGTTGACTTATTGGGAATGAAATGGTGAGCCATTGCAGGGTTTTGAGCAGAGAGACCAAGATCTAGAGACCAAGATCTGAGAGCTGGGGCCTTCTAGTATCTGAGAGGAGAGAAGGAAATAGCCTAGAAAACAGGATTAATCAACAGATTTACCATGATGCTCTGAAAGGATTTCAGGGTCCCTTCATCAACAAAGGTCTCTGTGGGTGCTGGGAGCTACTAAATGTTCTAAGTAAACAGGAAACTTGGAAAGCATTTTTATGTATACAGTTCTGGTAATTTGTTCCAAAAAAAAATTCTAAAGGACCAGACTCTCTAGTTTTAGTAACTTATTATGTTTTTTCCTTCATTCTGAACAAATATGTATTTTTTGTCTGATTTCCAATTTTGATATTATATTCTCTCTCTTTTTTTTTGTCTTTTTGAGATAGGGTCTATATTCTCTTTTTTAACAGGACCTCAAAATTGCATAAGTTTTTCTCCCCCAGATGTTGTTTTTTGTCTCTGATGACAGTCACATTAAGAGGAAAACTAAAGGGTGTGGTGTCTTGAAAGTGCAGAAAGAGCAAGGCTGGGTCAAAGGCTTGAGAAATTAATGAAGAAAAAGATTAAGAACCAGTGGATTAGTTACAGGTGACCTTAACAAGAGCAGATTCAGCTCAATGTAGGACACCATTCTCAATGTTTTGCAACTGCTACCCCCTACCAAACCAAGCAAGGGGTTGATCCTGGGGCCTAGTGCATGTAGGCAAGAGCTCTACCACTGAGTTATATCTCTAGCACTTAACTTCATATATATGGAACTGATTCAATCTTCTAAGTATTATGATAGCCTGAAATACATTTTTGACAACTACTGAGAAAATCATGATTTTTATTTTTGACTTATTAATGTGGTGAATATTTTCCAATAATTATGCAAAATCATTAGGTTATAAACAATCAGAAATCCATAAAATGTTATTGAAACAAAACATAATATTGGCCTCTTCTCTCACCAGACTTTCCTGTTCCTCTATGGTAGGCAGAATATTGTTTCCCAAAGATAACTAAATCCAAATCCCTGGAATTTGTGGATATGTTACCTTGTACGATGATTGACTTTTGTAGATGTAATCACATCTACATTGACAATCTGTGGATGGTAAGATTATCTAGGATTATATGACTGGAC